TCTTGTTTAGAGTAGCTATCACATCGTGTACCACCGGTGGTACACATGGCACTTTAACACTATTAGAAACAGAAGGTGAATTTTCACAGACATCCGTGTGATGGAAATTCACGTTCACGATTCAATCTGAAATTTCGTTTCACACATGGAGATCAATGTTCTGCTTTTATATACATTGACTTTACAACGCGGTCCCTACCGATCTGTGTGCCTCGACTTTTCTACTGTGAGATTCATTATGTTTTCAGAACACCACCGAGTTCATATCGATAAACGAGGCGTTGCTAGTAAGATTCAGAACGGACGACACGATATCGAACAAAGGTTTCATGGCGTTGTTCGTCGCGGTTGACCAGGACAACGGTGAAAATTACGGTGGCTCGGAGGACGAGGACGCGGACGAGGAGAACCTCTGATCCGTAACAGGCCTCGCCAATCGATTGGGCTACGGATTCCACATCGGTTCACTCTTGCGGAATAACGATCAAGGTGAAGGCGAGTAAAGAAAGCGTTTCGCAAGCGTTTACCTTTCGTGGAAGGCCGGCGTGCAGCCCTTCGGCAATCGTGAATCGTTGCTCGATTGTCGAGGCCGTGAATAGAAATTGCTCTCGTCGTGTATTACGCGTTCGAACGAGCCGATTATTATTATCATCGTTATACGATAATAATCGATCTTTGGACTTGAAGAGATTCCTGTATATCTGACGAGGCGAAGCCCGAGTTAATGTCCCGAGCAGTGTCTCTGCATCATGGATAATTTATTCCGTCAGCGATGGCGTTAGTTAACGGCTTAACCATTTGGATTAGCGATGTACGACCCTGAAAATTCGGCCTAGAGAGTCAAGGCCAATCGTGCCATTCTATGTTTAGGTAGAGCGCATTAATACTGTTAACTACTATGAATTCAACACCCAGTGAGAAACAACCAGGTTGGTTCAAGAAGCAAGGTGAAACAACGCAGTGCAACCGTGTGTTGACCCGAGTGCATTTTCTAATATTTAATCGAACAGTATCTTCATCGGTATACGGTGTTATTCTAAGTAAACGATATCAATACAACAAGAAGGGATTAAAAGAAAAGATGGAAGAGAAAGAAAGGAAGAATCGACGAGAGGGACAAACACGATCCTGAATGTTGATCGAGGTTGTTCTATCAAACACTGCCCCGTACCACAAATGATTTCGAACTCTCTTCTTTTCGTGTCTTCTTCCCTTCTTTCTCGCGGGAATGAAATATTCTTTCGAAATATCGAGAAGAAGAAGACGAGCGAGAAACGAGGAAATGTTTTTCGTTCGAAAGAAACCTGTTTTCGATGGTGGAAAACACCTTCCAGACGAGTCGTGCAAATATTTGAAATAATCTAGATATAAATTTAGATATAGCGCTGAATCGATCCTGAAGAATCAGCCACATAGAGGAGATGTCGTCGGCGAAGCTGATCAAGCGTTTCTCGCGCCTAGCGTTTTATTGTACATAGATAAAGTTTAGATGTAGACGTCGTGCCGTTTTATATCGTAGCCATAGGACCGATGACGAAAAAAAAAAAAGAAAAAAGAAAAAAAAAAAATGAAAAATGTCTCGCTGTCGTGTGAAATTGAATGGATTTCCGACGTTTCTCACAATCTCTGTACTTTCGTCTGCGTTTCCGCCATGCGACATATTTACAAATAATGCAATAACAATGAACGATATGGTTCCAACGACACCAATAGACACCTGTTAAATTAACGAACTAGACAATAGCATCTGATTAAAGGAGAAAAGTCATTGGTAATTTCTTGAGAAAGTGCAGCATAGAGCAACTAGAGAGATCTTTAATAATTTTATCATAGATATCGATGATCCGGGTCGCGATATTGCGACACTTTATATTAAAAACTGCAGTCTAAACGGTGAGGAAAAAAAAAAACGTATTAAATTTACGATCAGGGACGTATCCTATCGAGTACTCATCGAAGTACTCGTGTTTCTGACGAAAGAAGGAAACATTGTATCCTTTGTACGTGTTTAAGGAGAAAATGATACCGAGCAAAAGATTATTCTCTAAATGGCCAAAATGTTCGTGTATGCTTAAATTTTCCAAATTTTTCTACGTCATTCACTGCCCGATTTTCACGATGGTGCACAGAGATACAAAAGAAAGGAAACACGATACATCCTTACTTTGATATTATTTTTAATTACGTTGCA